AAAAAAAAACCATGGAAAAATCACGACCATCGGGAAAAACCAGCAGAGATCCCACAGGATCAGCCCTGGGAATCACTCGGGGAAGGAGGAAAACCCAAAAGGATCTCTCCTGGGAAAAAAGTGGGATCTTGGCTTTCTGGGAAGCAGAATCCTTCATTCCTGAGCCAGGATGATCCCAGGGCTCACCCAGCTTTTCCTTCTGCTCCCGGCACCTCCCGGCCAGTTCCTGCAGCTCCAGGTACTTCTTGGAGAGGTCGCTTCGTCCCGATTCCAGCGGCGCCTGGAATTTCAGGTTCTGCTCGGCCAAGCTCCGGTTGGAAGCCAAGGCCATTTCCCGCTCCAGCTGCAGCTCCTGCACCTGCGGAATTCGAGAAGTGATGCCGGGAACGGGACGAGGGAACCCCGGGGTGACCCCCCCACCAACCTCCTGTGATTCCAGAGCCAAGCGCTCGATTTCCTGGGAATCCTCCTGCAGCTCCCGGAGCTCCTCCACCGTCCTGTTCCTGAGTGTGTCCATCCTCCCGGATTCCTGGGACACGGAAAAGGAGGTGGATAAATCCCCCAATCCAGCTGTTTGTCCTTGCAGGGATTGAACTCCGGCTTTGTTAAACCTCCCAGAGCAGCACAGCGAGGGCAAAGCAACATTCCCACTAATTCCTCCTTCAGGAATGACTTTTTTCCACCTTCTCCCAGCTTTTCACAGCTTGTTTGGAAAGAATTTTGTGCATCCCAGAGGGTTTTGTCAAAGAAAAACCCACTCCCAGCCCTGACCAGCAAATTCCATCTGAATCTCTCCCCCATTTTCCAGATTCTGACTCATTCCAGGCTCCATCCCACCCCAGATTCCCGTCCTTCCAAGGAAAACTGGACCTGCTCCTATCCCACTGTTTCCAAAGGGTTGGAAAAGATCTTATGGATCATCCAGTTCCACCCTCTGACGTGGAAGGCAGTGAAACAACACAAAATCCAGGACTTCCCGTATTATATCTGCGATTTATCCTAAATATTCCAGGTTTTCCAATAATATGTAGGAATTATCCTGCGTTTGTGGCGCAAATTCCAAGAGCTGGGAGGGGATAATGCGGGAATGCCATAAAAAAACCAGGGACACCCCACAAACCTGTGCCGTCCTGATGGCTCCCGGCTCTTCTACCTCTTATCCAAGTGGAGCATCCCAAGGATTTCACCCCGGCAATGTCGCAAGAGCCTCAGGAATGTCTCAATCCATGATCCCGATAAACCTGTCCGAGGGGAAAACAGGGAATTGCGTCCCGCGCTGCAGGCGCGGGGCTTTCCCCCCGCACGGGAATCACCCGATTCAGGAGGTTTTTTGTCTCTTAACGAAATTTTATGGAGTTTAAACGGGAAAAACGGGAATGCCAGGAGCGGGAAAACTCAAGAATAGGCTCTGGGAAGCGCCCAACGGCGCTCAGCGGGGTGGAGGCGAAGCGCTGGGTGATTGCACGGCAGCAGCGAGCGGGAGCAGCCGCGTTAGCGCCGTTATGTCGCCGTTATTCCCGGTATTCCCGATATTTCCATTCCCGGCCCAGCCCCGGACTCACCGTAGACCCTCCGCCCGTCGCTACTTCCGGGTTCCGGCGCATACCGGAAATAGGCGGGGCCATTGCCGACAGCGAGGGGGGACGCGCCTCCTCCCCCCCGGGAGGCCGCGGGTGGTTCCTCCCGGCGCCGCCATGTTGGGGGGGGGCGGGATTGGGGAGCAATTTAATGGATTTTTTTCCTAATTAATCAATGTTTGGATGCCCAGGGGGCTCCTGCCGGGTCGTAGCCGCCCTAGGATTGATATCCTTCGTGGTATTGGGGTGGAGGAGCGCTGAGAGAGGTGAAGAAAGGGGTTTGGAGAAGGGACGTAGCATACTAGGGAGTGGGGTCGTATGGACACGGCGAGGGGTTTAGTGGGATTCTGGGAATAAATCCAGCCCTGTGAGGGTAGTAAAACACTGTGATGGATTTCCCAGGGAAGCCGTGCCTGCCCCATCCCTGGAAGTGCCCAAGGCCCGATTGGAACTGGTTTAGGAAAAACACACAGAGCTTAGCAACATCTCAAAAATCCAGATAACATCCCAAAAAGTTCCTATAATGGCGGGTTTTCCCAGCTGGAACCAAGAGATCAAAGCAAATCCCTTTGGAATACCTGGATTAGCCCCTCCTGGCATGAAACAGGGATATGTTTCCTAGAATGTACATGGAAGCTCCAATCCCATCACCTGAAACACGAATCCAAGCCCCACTTTTCCCAAATTAACTCCACATTCCCAAATCCCAGACAGGGATAAGGAATGGGGAGAGCAGCTCCTTCAGAAGACAGCAGAAGGTTGTTCCCAAAGTGCCCCCAGGATCCAGGAAAGGCACCTCTGATCCCACAAGTCACCTGAATAAATGGAATAAATGGGAATCACATGATCCCAAAAAATTCCGGTTGGATCAAGGACAACTTGTTCCCAGCGCGGCTGATAAACAGGTCAAACTCCCAATGTTATGGGAAAACAAAGGGACTCGACTTTCCAAAGGGAAAGAAGTGCTTTCTGGTCTTGTTTGGAGCAGTTTTCCAAACATGTGGAAAAGGTGGAAAATGTTTAGTTAACATTTGATATAAAAATTATGGATTGGGGAGAGGAAAAATCAAGATTTTTGCGGAATAAATGGGAAAATATCCATTTAATTGTTAACCAGCAATAAAAAATGGGATAAAGGGGTGTTTTGGAGAGCATATTCCCATAACCTGTTTATTAATATCCTTAATTCCCATTAACATAGTTCCACCTGGGATTCTTTTACATTAAAATTTAAGGATTAAGGATAAATTAAATTGTATTCAGATTTGCAAGGAATAAATGGGAAAATATCCGTTTAAATATGTTATCCAGCAATAAAAATTGGGATAATTTTTCCTTTTTAAAGGATATTCCCATTATTTTCTTATTAATCTCCCTAATTTCCATAAAAGATGGTTACATCTGGGTTTTGTCCCTTGGATTTTGTGTTAATCCCACCCAAAATCAGGTAGGAAAAGGTTATCTGAGGTCCCTGCCCGGCAGAATTCCATTCCCACAGGGAATGCCAAGATCCTTGATAACTTAATTCAATATTTTTAAGCAAATCCCGGAGATTTGCCTCCTCAGGAGCCTCAGAATTCCCTCCTTTCATCTGACAGCTCTGATAAAGCTCCGGGGTGATAAAGGGACAAGAAGAACTGGGAACAGGGCCTGGAAAACAAGTTTCCTTCCTGAATCCATTCCAAGATAAGCCCTGACTCCGTTAGGGGATTTTTTTGGGGGTAAAATTAAGGAAGTTCCCGGGCTTTTGATGTCCCAAAAGCTGGAAAATCCCGAAATATTGATTCAGAGGGTGGTTCCTGTGGGAGTTAAATCCATCCCAAGTGGCGTTTCCACTTTCAAACCAGGATTTTCTGGGAACAAACCTAAATTTTTTGGAGGGAGGGTTTGACCAGGAATCCCTGGCTGAATCAGGAATGGATCCAGATCCGGGTTTTTTTGGGTGCCCTCTGGTGCCAAGGAAAGCTGGGACAGGGAGGCCTCGGTCACCTGCTCCCAACCTAAAATCTCAGGTCCAGGATGGGTTATTCCAGGATCCCTGAATTTCCCCACCGAGGTTGGAAAAATCCCAATTTCTCCCTGAGGAAAAGCCATTTCACACCCTCAAAGGGGTTATTTTTCCATCCTCCCACCTTTTTATTCCTGATTTAATTAGTGGTGAACATTAATTCCCATTTTTTCCCCGTCCCTGAATCCCACAACTTCTTCCCACTGGGGATAAGGATTCATCCAAAAATCCAGCAGGATTTTGCCTCCTGCGGATGGGATTTACAACCAACTTGTCCTGAAACTTCCCATCCCTGGCAAAAACTTTCCATTGGAAAATCTGGAGTCCTGATCCCCTGGGATGGCAGCTCTGGGAATTAAGTGGATAAACAGCTCTGGGATAAGGGAATATTTTTGTATTCCCTCCTATTTTGGCCCAAAAACAGGGACAACTTGGAAGCTTCAAATTTACAGGGACACCTTTCACTAATCCAGGTTGCTCCAAGCCCTTTTCCAGCCTGGCCTTCGCCAGTTCCAGGGATGGGGCAGCCACAGCTTTCCTGGGAAATCCATTCCAGTGCTTCACCACCCTCACGGGGAAGGATTTATTCCCAATATCCCATTTAAATCGCCCCTTTTCCAGTTTGGAGCCATTCCCTCTTGTCCTGTCGCTCCATTCCCATTCCCAAAATCCCTCTCCTGCTCTCCTGGAGCCCCTTGAGGCACTGGAAGAGGCTCCAAGATTTCCCCGGAGCTTCTCTTCTCCAGGCTGGACAATTCCAGCTCTCCCAGCCTTTCCCATCCCTCGGATCACCTCCATGCCCTCCTCTGGCTTTGGTCCAAGACTTCCATGTCTTGCTTCCACTGGGATTTCATCCCTCTCACCCTTTCCTGGTGCTGCTGCAGAACTGGGACCAGCTGTGGGGTCAAAGTGGGAGCAGCCAGGGGAAGGTCCAGCTCCGGATGCCACTGGAATGCTGAAGGTCACTGGAGCTGGGCCGGGAATCTTGGCTTCCCTCACGGCACCACGTGGATCCTGGAACGGTCACCTTGTCCTGGAGGAGATCAAAGGCTCCCTAAGGCCAGAGCTGGAATTCTTCCCTTGGAATCAGCCCCATTCCCAGCTAGGAAGAACAAAAGAATCCGAGGATTTGGGCTGAATTCCAGGGGGGGGAGTGAAATGGATAAAGATCCAGGGGGATGTTGGGAGAAAAGGGATGAAGCAGCGGATTATCCTAGAGGAAAAAAGGAGGATGGGATGTGTTGGAGGGGTTTGGGAAGGAGAAGGGCTTGGCTGATTCCCAGAATGGAAAATCTGGAGCTGGCAGCCTGAAAATCTCGAATAGATTGGCTGGAGGAAAAAGCTCTGGAGAGACCTTGGAGCCCCTAAAGCAACTCCAGGAGAGATGGAGAGGGACCTTGGAAAAGGGCCTGGAATGATAGGACACACAGGGAATGGCTTCCCACTGCCAGAGGGTGGGTTTAGGTGGGATATTGGGAATGAAACCTTCCCTGTGAGGGTAACGAGGCCCTGGAATGGATCTCCCAGGAAAGCCTTGGCTGCCTCATCCCTGGTGAGCTGCAATCCAGGGATCAAACCCTCCAGCCGGGAGTTGGGGGCGATCCAGGGGACAAACCCAACCCCACATTCCCACCGGCTCCCAGCGCCTTCCCTCGGGACACCGGGAGCGCTTCCCTCCCATCCCAGTATCCCGACTTTACCTCTGGGAATAAGGGCTTGACATTCCCCCCCTCCCCGGCCACCTTCCTTAAGGACGTTGTGATAAGAATCCCGAGAACCGTTTGCTTTTCTTATCGGAGCCGCCGGCCAAACACGGGAGCCGGGATATAAGGAGCGGGAGCGGGAGTGGAGGCTCACATTCCCGGAGCTCCCACCATGAAGCTGCTCCTGCTCCTCTCCCTGGTGGTCCTGGCCCAGGGCCTGGGGACCAGGTGAGCACCAGGAAGGGCCCCCGTCCCAAAGGATGTGGGATGTGGGATGATCCCGGTGATGGATCCCGGTGTCCACAGGGTCCCCCTGAGGAAGATGAAGTCGCTGCGGGAGAGGCTGCGGGAGCAGGGATTGCTGGAGAGTTTCCTGGAGCAGAATCCCTATAACCTGGCTGATAAGTACTTCCCTGGGATCGCTGTGGAACCCCTGCAGAACTACATGGATGTGAGGGAATGGGATTGGGATTGGGGGGCCACGGGGGCCACTTCCCCTTTCCAATCCTGCTATCCTTTTTCCTATCCCTCTCTCCCCCTCCCACTCACCCCTTCCGCATCCTATTATCCCCTTCCCACTATTCCCTTCCCCACCTCACTATCCCCTCTCCATTATCCCCTTCCCCATCCTACTATCCCATTCCCACTATCCTCTTTTCAATCCCACTGTCCCCTTCCCAGTCCCACTGTCCCATTCCCACTATCCCCTTCTCAGTCCCACTATCCCTTTCCCTATCCCACTATCCCCTCCCCACTAACCACTTCCCCATCCCACTGTCCCCATTCCGCTCTCCCCTTCCCTATTCCACTATCCTCATTCCCATCCCATTACCCTCTTCCCACTGTCCCCTTCCCCATCCCACTATCTCATCCCACTATCCCCACCCCACTGTCCCCTTCCCAATCCCACTCTTCTTTTCCCATCCCGCTCCGACAGGACGAGTACTTCGGCACCATCTCCATCGGGACTCCAGCCCAGGAATTCACCGTTGTCTTCGACACCGGCTCTTCCAACCTTTGGGTTCCCTCTGTCTTCTGCTCCAGCCCAGCCTGCAGTAGGTGTCTGGAATGTGTCCGGAGCATGTCCGGAGTATGTCCAGGTGTCCGGAATGTCTCCGGGTGTCTGGAGCGTGTCTGGCAGCCCTGTGGCTTCTTGGACAATGGGGAATCCCCCAGGCCTTGGGAGCCAGGGATGGCTCTGCCCCCCCCTCTCCCAGGGACACTGAGGTGCCACCCTCATTCCCAATGGCCTCATTCCCGTGATTCCCTCCCTCCCGACCCTTTCAGGGAACCACAACCGCTTCAATCCCGCGGATTCCTCCACCTTCCTGAGCACCAACGACACCCTGTTCATCGCCTATGGCACGGGAAGCATGTCCGGAGTCCTGGGATACGACACCGTCAACGTAGGCCGCTCTGTCATTCCCATCTCGTGGGATCGGGGATCCTGGGAGGCCTGAGCCACACCTGTCTCCCTTTCCCAGGTCGCCGGGATCAATGTCCGGAACCAGATTTTCGGGCTGGCGGAGACGGAGCCGGGGGATTTCTTCTACTACACCCCCTTCGATGGAATCCTGGGATTGGCATTCCCGAGCATCGCCTCCTCCGGAGCCACCCCGGTCTTCGACAACATGATGATGGAAAGGCTCGTGGATCGGGATCTCTTCTCCGTCTACCTGAGCAGGTAAATCCCGGCCGGAGCTGCCGAAGAGTTCTCCCATTTCCCTCCCGCCGGTGCTGGTTTCCCAGTGGGAATGGCGGGGTGGGCAATCCCCGGACAGATCCCGCTTTTCAGGGATGGCCAAGCCGGAAGCTTTGTCCTGTTCGGCGCCATCGATCCCTTTTACACCACCAAAGGAATCTCCTGGATCCCGCTCTCTGCCGAGACCTACTGGCAGATCACCATGGACAGGTATTCCTGGGAAGCTCCGCAGCCGGTGTTTTTGGGGAATCCCAACCTCGAGAAGCTCACCCTGCATCCCTTTTTCCAGCGTCTCCATCAACGGGGCGGCGGCGGCCTGTGCCTCGGGATGCCAGGCCATCGTGGATACGGGAACATCCCTGCTGGCCATGCCCGTCCGAGCCTTCCAGATTGTCATGAGCGCCCTCGGCGCCAGCTCCAACGGCGAGGTGAGCCCTCGGGACGCTTCCCAGGATGTTTTTTCCCAGCTGGAATAGCCACTGACCCACCCTGTCCCCCCCAGATCAGCTGCCAGGCTGCCAAAAAACTACCCGACCTTGTATTCCATATCCACGGCCAAGCATTCCCGGTGCCGGCCAGAGCCTACGTGATACGGGTGAGCATCCCGCTGGGAATGGGGCTGGAATGACGCGGGGCGGGGATCCCACAGCCGGTGACCGCCTCGTTCCGTGTGCTCGGAGCAGAGCGGTGGGTTCTGCAGCCTGGGATTCCAAGGCATGGATACCCCCACGGAGGAGGGCGAGCTCTGGATCCTTGGGGATGTGTTTATCCGGGAATACTACGTCGTCTTCGACAGAGCCAACAACAAGGTGGGGCTGTCCCGGCTGCCCTGAGCCGGGATGGGGGATCCCGGCGGTTCCCAACTTGGGGGCTGCCAGGGATGTCCCTTTTCCCGCCGTTCCCAGCCCCTCCTGCCGCTCCCGAGGACAATAAAGGTGTGGAGAAGCCCCCCTGTGCCGTGTGTCTCTGGGAAGGGCGGGGCATTCCTGGGAATGGGGCGTGTCCCTGGACACCGGTGGGTGTCACCCTCACCTGCATCCCTGGGGACCTTTGTCCATGGAGACTCTCATCCATGTGGATCCCCATCCCTGGGGACCTTCCGGCCCTCAGGACCCTTCTCCCTGAGCACGCTCGTCCCTGGGGTCTTCCCAGCCTTGGGGACCCTCATCCATGGGGATCCCAGCAGGACACGTCCCCCCTGTCCCCAAATTCCAACCCCAGCACTTCCCTCCTCGTCCCGCAGAGGCCGCTCATCCCAAAATTCCCGCTGAGGACAAGCCCCGGGCTCCGCGTGTTCCCAAGCAGGAGGGGACAGGGAATAAATACCAGGATGAGTTTATTGGCGGGGGGGAGACAGTCGCCCCCCCTCCCCAGGGGCCTGATCCTGCAGACCCCCCCCCTCTTCCTCATCCTCCTCCTCCTCCCGGCACTCGGCACCTGGGGCTCTTCCCGCTGTCCGGTGGCACCGCGGCGGGATCCGCATTCCCGAGGGATCCCTGAGCCTCGGGGCCGGAGCAGCCCGTGGGATCTGGGGGGGGCTGCGGCCTCGGAGGGGGGGTCGAGGGGCACCGAGGGGTGTCCAGAGGGGCTCGGGGTGGTGGGAGGGGGATCCCCGGCATCCCAAATCCCGGGAAAGGGGCTGGGGGCCGCGGATGTGTTGGGAAGCAGGAGCTGGGCCAGGCGGGGGCGGGATTTGGGGAGATTGGGGTGGGAGGTGCCAGGCGGTGAATCTTTAGGGATTGGGGACTGGGAGGAGGATGGGGACAGGGAGGACGGGAATGAGGATGGGGCGTGGGAGAAGGAGGGGGATGAGGATGGGGACAGGGATTGGGAGGGGGATGAGGGTGGGAATGGGGCCAGGGATGAGCCTGGGGATGGAGACAGGGATGAGGATGGGGATGGGGATGAGGACGAGGGTGAGGATGGGGCCAGGGAGGAGAACGGGGACAAGGACTGGACCAGGGATGGGGCGAGGGCTAAGGATGGGGCGAGGGCTAATGATGGAGCCAGGGATAAGGATGGGGCCGGGGATAAGGATGGGGCCGGGGATAAGGATGGGGCCGGGGATAAGGATGGGGCCGGGGATAAGGATGGGGCCGGGGATAAGGATGGGGCCGGGGATAAGGATGGGGCCGGGGATGGGGCCAGGTCACTGCCCTGCAGCGGGAGCCGGACGTCTGTGGCTGGCACAGGGATGACTTTGGTCAGCCCCCGCCCCACCCCCGGGACCCCCAGCCTGGGGTGGGGGTCCCCCGAGTGCCAGGAGGTCTGGGAATCCCATTACCTGGGCAGGGTGGGCAGCAGGGAGCGGGAATCGCGGGGGGCTCGGAGCAGGAGTGGGGGCACGGCCGCTCCTCGCAGGTCACCTCCCCGAGCTGGCACGGGGGGGGACACGGTGGGTCAGCCGGGCCTGCCAACCCCCCCCCCCCGGGGCACAATGGCACCGGCACGGGCAGCCCGTGGGCACAGGGACCCCACGGACACGGGATATCCCATGGGCACAGGGTCCCCGCGGACATGGGCACCCCCGCAGGCACGGGGACCTACAGACCAGGGCACACTGTGAACCCCAAAGGGGTCCCCGCTGGTGTCCCCCCACCGCTCACCTTGCAGGCGCAGCGGGTGCAGGGCTGCCCCTCGGGGGTGAAGCTCTGCCCGTTCTCCACCTTCCTGCCGCGGTAGTTGCAGTCTGGGGGGTAGGGAGGGCTCGCTCAGGGGGCTCGGGGGGGGGGGGGGGGGGGGGCCCCCCCCCCCCCCCCCCCCCGTTACCGTCACAGACGGGGCAGCAGCGGCCCTCGGGGTGGAAGGGGTAGGAGCACACGATGGCACATTCCAGGGGCGAGCAGGCCACCGACCCCAGCTGCGAGAGACCGGAGAGACCCCGTTAGGAACCCCCGGCAACGCCCCCGGAGCTTTTTTTTTTTGTTTGTTTGTGTTTTTTTCCTGCAACGGAGTTAAAAATCCCGGGATCAGCCCGTGGAGCCGGAGCCCCGAAAGCTGCGGGGGTGCCCGGCCCTGCCCTCACCAGGCAGATGCAGCTGAGACACGGATCCAGCTCCGACGGGAAGGTCTCGTTGTTGGAGAACACCCGCCCCATGTAGGTGCAGCCTGCGGGCAGAGCGGCTCGCGTGGGGCCCCGGGCGGCTCGGAATTCCCGGGCGGGAATTCCAGAGCCTCCTCACCTGCGGAGCAGTCGGGGCAGCACTGCCCGGGGATCCGGATGGGATAGGGACAGGTCTCCAGGCATTCCGTGCGCCGGCAGCTCACGGAGCCGTCTGCCTGCGGGCGGGAACACCTCCACAGACACCTCGGCATTCCCGAACCCGCCGGGGGATCCGCGGGCATCCCGAGGGCGGGAATGGGGAGCGGGGACGGGGACGGGCAGCAGGAGGGAAGCAGAGCAGGTTCTCATTCACCTGGCAGATGCATAACTCACAGGGATCGCCCGGAGACCAGAGCTGTCCCACGGGAAACTGCACGCCGTTGTCCTCCAGGAAGCAACCTGGGGAGGCTCCCTGTGCCCAGCTGGCCCCTAAAACCCACCCTCCCCTACATTCCCCCCTCCCTGGGCCCGGGTATTCCCAGTTTTCCCCCCTCCCCATCCCCACGTATCCCATCCCCTCGGCCCCTGGGCTGTCCCCCCACATCCCTCTCTCCCCGTCCCTCGGATCCCACATGTCCCTCCATCCTGTCCTCACTGTCCCCCAGCTGTCCCCCACATCCCACCCTCTCCATCCCCAAATATCCCCACAGCCCTCCCACCTTTCCCGTTCCCAAGTGTCCCCCACATTCCAACCCCTTTTTTCCCCCCAGCTGTTCCCCACATCCCACCGTCCCTGTCTCCAGCTGACCCCCTTATCCCACCCTCCCCGTTCCCGGGTGTATCCCTATCCCGACTGACCGGCAGGGGCCGGAGGGTCCCGGCAGGAGGAGCAGCACTGCCCCGGGCGCAGGTGCCGCTGGTGCTGGGGGCAGTCCAGGATGGGACAGGGAGCGAAGGAACATTCCACCTCCCCACCCTGGGAACATGGGAATGTGTCACCGGATGTCCCCACATCCAGCCCCAGCCTCGAGAGAGCCGGGATACCCACAGCAGCTGCAGGGAAGCGCTGGAGCATCCCTGGGGACCCTCATTATTCTGAACCCCCATCCCTGTGGACCCTCGTCCATGGGGACCCTCCTCCCTGGGGTTCCCCAGCTTTGGGGACCCTCATTCCTGGGGTGTCCCATCCCTGGGGTTCCTCATTCCTCAGAATCCCCATCCCTGGGGCTTCCCCACCTGGCAGACGCAGGTAGTGCATCCGTCCCCATCCGGGCTGAACTGGGCCCCGTGTGCGTACGTGCGGCCCCGGAAACTGCACTGGGCTGGGAAAGACGGAGTCAGGAGGGCTGGGGATCCAAGTGTGGATCCTCCAGAACCCTCATCCCAGCCCGGGGGGGTCTCACCTGGATGGCAGGAGCAGCAGTCGGATGGAGAGGGGCTGGGGCAGGAGCCCGCGGGGCATTCCGGGGAAAGGCAGGAGACATTCCCGGCCTGTGGATGAAGGTGGGATGAGGGTCCCCAAGGCTGGGAGGTCCCCAGGGCTCCAGGGGAATTCTCCCGCCCCGATCCAGCTCACCAAGCAGATGCAGACGGAGCAATTCCCATCGGATGGGGAGAAGACATCGCCGTCTGCTCTGGCCACCCCCTCGTGGAGGCACCCTGTGATCCAGGGGGGATCAGGGAGGGATATCCTGGGAATTGCGGGGTCAGGGGGGCCGGGACTCACCTGTGCAGGTGGGGCAGCATCCCCCGGCCGGAGCGGGAAGCGGGTGGGAGCAGGGAATGGAGCAGCTCATGGCGTCACACAGGACTCGTCCCTCCTGCCGGGACACACGTGGCTTATCCCAGGCTGGGATGGTGCCGAGGGAAGGCGTGGGATGGTGGGATTCTCACCTGGCAGGTGCAGCTCCGGCATCCTGGCTCTGTCCAGTGAGCCCCGGGCTCCCGGGAAACCCCACGGTGCCGACAGCGAGGGGACGGTGGGATGGAGGTACCGGGAGACAGGGACGGAGAAGAGGGTGGGAATTGGGTCCCGGGAGCTGCCACAGGGATGTGGGGAGAGGGGGAGCCCCTCGGAAGCAGGTGGGAGCCAGGAGGGAGCAGGACGAGGGTGGGCGGGTGCTGCAGGGATTGCAGGATGGGTGACGGGGCCAGGATGGATTTGGGATACCCTGGGAAGGAATTCAGGAAGGAAGAGACATCACTTGGGGTAGGCAAGGAGTGGGAGCATCCTGCTCCACTCTCCCAGCCCGGAGAAGGACACGGGTACCTTCGCAGGACACCCTGTCCGTGCTGAGCCGGTATCCGGGGCGGCAGGAGCAGCGGAAGCTCCCGGGAATGTTGTGGCAGCTGTGCTGGCAGGAGCGGCGCGTTCCCGGCCGCCGGCATTCATCCACATCTGCAGGAAAAGGGAATGTGGCAGGAGGTGCCGCACCCCAGAATGTGACCCAGGAAGGAGCCCAGAGTGCCAGGATGTGCCCCCAGCACGGCCCAGGCAGGGACAGGGATAAAGTGGCAGCAGTGGGATCGTGGGCTCATGGACAATTGCGTCCCTTGGGATTCAGGGCATGGAGAGGGATGAGGGTCTGGCACAGTGCTCAGGGGCTCATGGCCACCTGCATCCCCTGGGATGCATGGCATGGGGAGGGAAGGGGGTCTGGTGTGGTGTCCACAGGCTCATGGCCACCTGCATCCCCTGGGGATTCATGTCCTGGAGCAGGAAGGGCCCCATCCCAGCACTCACCCAGGCAGGAATGCCGGTTCCCGTGGAGTTGGTATCCGGGCCGGCAGGAGCAGCGGTAGCTCCCGACGCTGTTCTCGCAGCGGTGCTGGCACGGCGTGGCCTGGCACTCGTCCATGTCTGGGAGGGGGGTGGGATGAGGGTCAGGATCCCTCGGCATTCCCGGCCTCCCCTCCGGCCCCCTGCGCACCGCGGCAGCTGCGCCGATCCGTGGAGAGCTCCCGGCCAGAGCCGCACTGGCACACGAATCCGCCCTCTGTGTTCACGCACAGCCCCTCACAGGCCCCGCTCTGGCACTCATCGATGTCTGGGGGGAACACCGGGAATGCCTGGATTTGGGATGTGGGACCTTCGGATGCCCGCTCCCACTGGGATATTGCTGTTCCCGCTCACCGGTGCAGCGGACACCGTTGGGAGTCTCCACCATGGAGAAGCCGACGGGACACACGCGGGCGACCTCCTGGCACCCGCCGTGGTTACAGGACAGGTCACAGCCGTACTCCCCACATGTTCCCGGTGGATCTGGGGGGTGGATGTGGGGTCAACCAGGCACCGGGGACACCCCGGGAGCACCCAGCTCCCACCCTGATCCATGGATGCCTCAGGGATGGGGACAGTGCTTGGAATGCTGCAAGGGGAGGGGACAAGGAGCAGCAGGCCCTGCCAGGATGGGGCCACCTCCATCCCTTGGGATTCGGGGCATGGAGAGGGAAGGGGGTCTGGCACATGGCCACCTCCATCTCCTGGGATAAGTGGTGTGGAGAGGGAAGGGAGTTTGGCACAGTATTCACAGGATCATGGCCGCCTCCATCCCTTGGAATTTCAGGCCTGGAGAGGGAAGGGGGTCTGGCACGGTGCCCCCTGGCACGGATGCAGGGCACGGAGAGGGAAGGGGGTCCAGCCTGACGTCCATGGACTCACAGCCCCCCCATCCCTTGGGATTTACCTGGGCAGGTGATTCTCTGCTCCCCATCCGGGCACAGGCAGAGGTTGGGAGCGACGCAGGAGCCGCCGCCACAGCCGAAGGAGCAGAGCGCTGCGGGAATGGGAACAGGAGCTGTGGGAAAGGGACCGGGGACCCCCACCCACCCCCCCGGCTTCCCCTACTCACGCAGGGTGCACTTCCCACTGCCTGGGGACAGCATCCAGCCGGGACAACATCCGCTGCCGGAGCCCAGGAAGCAAACGTGGGGCCCCCCGCGGCGCCTGTGGGACACCGGAGCCTGAGGCCACCCTATCCCCATCCCTCCCGGATGGAGCCAAGGGTCTGGGAATGCCAGGACATGCCCGTGGGAAGCAGAGCATGGCTTGGATCAGGAGGAGGCAGGAATGGCAGGGGGCCGGGGGCAGAGGGATCCCAAAAGAAGGTGAGACAGGGAGGGAGGTTTGTGGCCCAGTCATCCCAAATATCCCAGTCCGGGCAGCAGGACAGGGATGCAGGGAGAAGGACAGGGATGAGGGAAGAAGGACAGGTATGTGGAGAGCAGCATGGGGATGTGGGGAGCAGGACAGGGATGATGGAAACAGGGCAGGCATGCGGGGAGCAGGACAGGGATATGGGGAGAAGGACGGGATGCGGGG